TTGTGAAACAAAAGTTACCAAGTTGACAACTTCTTGTCACTTCCGCAGAACGGTACGATGTAGTCTTGCATGTCTTTCGCTTCAAGGTAACCCAGGGGAGCATTTAAGCAGGCGACGGTTGAATGCTATCTTTTCAGCCTCTCCAATGGATGGACATAAAACAACGTCTGTTTATTGGGTCGAACAAAAACACATTCGCGGATTTGTTCGCGGATAATTTCAAACTCTTTAGTAAGAAATGACGGTAACACGCTAATAGGCATATAAATAATACAAAAACCGGGAACACCGGTTTCAAGTCGCAAAACTCCGTCACTTCAAACAAGGATTTTCTACAGACTGTGAACCGTTTTCTGTATTGATTCTTAATTATTATGCTAATAAGTTATGCCTGTTAACTAAAGAATTAGTAAAATTTACCCGAAAACCTCTGAGCATCAACGGGATGATGACGTTGCTTTCAAGGTCTGACAATTTGCGGGATATCGAAAGTAACATCAGCATGTTATCACATTTTGTTACTCCAACGGCATACAAGTCACTGAGTGTGTTTGCGCATGCGATCTTGCCCTAAAAACACAGATCATTACAGAGAATTTAGTACGGTGGGAAACGCGATACCATAATGTAAGGATCGTCTACCAGCGGATAGAAGAAATCCGTTGTCTGCACCAAATGCAATCCATTGTGACGCAGCGGTATTACACAAGAATCCATTCCAATACCTAAAAATTAAAGGTGTAAACAAATTATCGATAACAACGAAGTTCGACAGGGTGAAAAAAAACAGATAAAAAAGCAGAGCCGGTCTCTGACGATCAAGAGCAGCAAACACTTAACATAAATAAAAGATAAATTTCTAAAAGAAAATCCGGTTCAACGGCTATAAGCACAAAGAAGATTGAAGGTAGAAACATTTTACTGAATTAATTCGTCGTCGATGGTTTTAGACACAAGGAAACAGGCAGATGGTAATTTTTATTTGAGCTGCCGATGTTTCAGCCAAACTAAATCTGCCATCGACAGCGCAAGCAATAACGCAGCACTGATGAAGAATATGATTGTTACTTACGCCTTGACAAACATGGCACTTAACAGTGACAAAGACGAATTAGCTGTCAGCGTTTTGTCACATCATGACGATACAAGTGTCACCGTCGCTCATCTCAATGCAAAGGAGAGCGCGAGTACAGCAGGGGGCCATGCGTCTGTCCAACACAGGCTTTTGCGACACAAAAGCTTAATCGTCGACGGGACCGTTTTACTTTTCATAAGCTAACTCATTAAGCCACCTCGATGGAAGCCTAAACACCCAAAGCAGCCACATCCTCATCAGTGAAAAAGGCCGTGCTCGTTACTCAAGACCTGTGACAGGCGTGGTGCCTGCAATGGGTCTGATCAAACTGTGGCTGTAGTGGAACATCGTCTAACACTGACCTGGTCAGGTTTAAACACGCCAGCTTCTCGATGCTGACAGACTACAACAGGAAGAAAGAGTCAAAAGTTGTTTTAGCGTCCTCCTAAATGACTATTTATGAAATCGCGGAAGTCAAAGACGCTTCCATAGACTTCAGAGAAGGGGTCAGTTCCTTGGTGAAAAGGTAGTTGGAGCGGAAGGGACGATAGCTGAACTATCCTGGGTTACAGAGAAGATCCTAGGTCTTAGGGTGCAGAGAAACCGGGCAGAGAAGGAGTACGTAAAACACCCCACTGCACTATAAAAAGCAGCTTTTTCACAGCCTCGTTCACGCATTCAACCAGAGCAACAAGGGGGACAGGGGGGACTTCGGATAGATGGCAAATCCGAAAGTCCAATAAGGCACCGGAAATGGTTACTGGCAAACAGAGTTCAAAGCAATAAGACATTTTCTTGACAAGCACAGGAATTAGTCGATCCCTATCACAGACATTAAGGGTGCACCTTTCGCAGGTCACTT